ACGTCTCCAACTTCAATGGGTTTTACATTTTCGAACCACTTAGATCGGCGCGTAATGATAGGGAGATATTCCTTTAGCCATCGGGTCCAAAACGAGTTGGCCAACTGTTGCGAGGCCAGCCAGCCTCTTCGCAGAGTCAGTCCATCAGCGGTGACCTCCGACATGGGCTTGGAACTGACTGAATTGCCGAGAAGAAAATGATTCGGCGTCAGTGCTTCATCCTCATAATCGGATATCGGTACATACATATGTTAGAGGCCGAGAGTTAACCACCATTTCAGATTCCATTAACGCAGCACGCAATAGTTCGTCACTAGTAGTTCTTCCTCTCAATATGGAATATAAAACACCTTTTACGGAGTGTACTAGTCTCTCTCACATACCACCCATGTGTGGTGCCGCTGGTGGAATGAACTTCCAAGTCATTTTAGGACTGGTAAAGGTTCTGATGATTTCGTTTTTATCCATAAGGTCGAAAACGGCTTGCAATTCCCTTTCCGCACCCTTAAAATTTGTGCCATTGTCACTCCAAAACTCCACCGGATTACCTCTGCTGGCAATAAAATTGCGAGTAGCAAAAATGCACGAGTCCGCTGAAAGAGTGTAAGCGATTTCGATATGGATCGCTCTTGCCGTGAGGCAGGTGAACAATACTCCGTACCGTTTTTCGCTGCTTCTCCTTATCGATACCAAGAGCGGGCCAAAATAGTCGACCCCGACATATGAAAACGGCCGGTGGAAGGCAGCGACTCTAGCAGGCGGTAGATTGCCCATCCTAGGCGGTTTGGGCAGCGCGCTGTTTATTTTACAATATGGACATCGGCGTTTCACCTGATTGACAAGCACTCTTAGCCGAGGCACCCAATAATTTCGTCGGACGTCGTTTACCACCATTTCTGAATTTCTATGTTGCTATTTAGCGTGAATATCGGACACGAGCAGATACGTTATATAATGATCTTTAGGAAGAGTAACTAAATCGTTCTTCTCGCTCGTGCATAAGCGTGAATCGAGTCGAATTACGTTGTTGCTATCTATATACGGAGATAGTTTGTAGATCGAACTAGACCGTTCAACGTACCTCCCGTCTTTGAGCGAAAATATTTCATCTTTGAAGGTGTCAAGCTGGGCCTGTTTCCACAGCATTATTTCAGCTAGCTGGAAGTCTTCGGTGCGAGGTGTACGATAGCTAGCTTCTCTATCTTGCGAATGCTTTATTCGGTTCAACCAAATTCTGGCACAATAAATAACTGCTGCGGTCATGGTAAGGAGACGGCGCCAGGATGAATATCGATTTGCGTCTAATTTGATAAATTCGATTAGCTGCCTTTCGTGATGTGGCCCAACGTATTGTGCGCGAAGTTCTTCAGTAGCAGTCGTATTAGATACAAACATCTGTGCTGGCCAATTCTGCGAGTCCATTTCAGAAAGGAACGACCGTTAAACCAACGAGCGTCGACACTTATTTCAGGAACTCTCCTCCATTTGGTGGCTTCATCAGCAACGTTGTCATGCGTCGATGTCCAGTGCCAATCAACTGGGTAAGTATTTTCGAGTATTTCGCTAATACGATACGCAACGAATTGTTGGT